ATTGCACTAAACTGTATTTATTTGAAATTAGATGGTACCGAGTAATACGTTCGAAACTCCAGATCTATATATATATTAATACATACGTTTAAAATCAAAGTACCTACCTACACACAAAATTTAAAACGCTATATCTGCAAAATGTTTTGTATTCTCTGTTAACTGGAGCGTCCAACTCCATTAAATTATAATTGTGCCGTTACTCGTTTAAAGTCACAACCATGGTGGGATGGTAACTGTATGATTAAAAGTTTTCAGTCAATTAGTTTGTATCTGTTACTGTGTTATGCTTTAATTTTATCGAGTATTAAAATAAAAAAATAACATATTAAAGTAAAATAAAATAATATAACTATATTTTAAGTGATAATAATAAAAATAGTAATGTATATCTTTCTAGGTTTCGACGCACAGCTGTAGATATTGACTACGCAAGTTTTAAAGCTTTAATATATATATTTTAAAAAATAGTTTCTTAACAACAGTAACTAAAGGATTTATAATAGAGCAGTTGTAATATGTTTGGCAGCATCAATGGACGAATTCAATTATATTATAATAAATAAATTCTACCTAATTATAATTAAATTTATAGTTAAAGAATAAACATGAAGAAATATATATCTATAATCTATATCACGGGGTATAATTATATAATAAATATACAGCAAAGCATTGGCAACTGTAATTACAATACTCGTATATTTTTAATTTACAAAAACTTCCATTTAACCCTTTGCTATGTCAAGACTCATTGAGTAATAGAGAGAGAGAGAGTTGAGAAATAACTTGAAACCTGTTGTTTTGATTTACAATTAAAAATAAACCGGAATATAAATTAAATAAAAACTACATATTTTATACGGTAATCCAGTGTCACTCGATAGGTTGTAATCGAATCTGCCTTATAAATATTTGATAGAAACATCAGTTTCCTTGTATCAATGAAATTAGTTTTACTATGACACAAGTAAGCTGATTTTGATGCTTAGAATAATTATACTAGATTATATACCTACTTATTAAAAATTACAAAATCTAAAGTCTAAGAAATGGTATCGGGTAAAATTAGCGGAATATTTTTTTTCGTTGTTGAAGATAAATTTAATATATATTGGACAAGACAAGGCTAAACTACATTAATTATTTATTTACTAGAAAACATTTAAAATTGTAACGATTATATGATATAATGTTCTTTTCGAAACACAATTTCAGCACAAACACTCGAAAGATTAATTCAATAATAATTACATTAATTTACAATTTTTCCCAGATGCTGATTCCGTAAAATTGTAAATGAAAGCCTTATATAATTTATCCATTAAAACATAGAAAAAATATATAACTGCTTCTGTAGTTGCCGTACTGGCTATAAGTTCCGCGATCTGAGTGAAAAATAAGTCAAAGTAGTTTTATCTTGGTGCTTTATTCTTACAAAGGTTATAAATATATCTTATTAAATTTCCTACTTATTACAAACGTACGTAAGTAAAACGGAGGGGGATACTAAGTCTACTTACGAGACTAGAAGTGGCTACAATAGACTATGTGGCCTCCAATTCTACATAATTGTGATAAACATTTCAGAATGTAACATTATATAAACTCTGTACTATTGTGATACAACAGGTAAACCATTCAGGTGTATAGCAAATGGATAAAAAGTATTTTTTAATCCGGATTTAACCCCAGCTTTTTAAGATTACATATTGGTATTAATTATTAAATACTAATCTATACTTAGATCAAGCTAAACATTTAAAGACTAGAACAATAATAGATAAGTATTTATTGAAATCACTTATTATAATAGGTTGCTGATATTATTGTACTTTTATATAAAGATATATAAAGATGTTCTTTTCTTGTTTTATAAATAACATTACTGCATTTACAAGCATTCTAAGGAACAAAATCACTACTACAAGTATCATAACAATCTATTTCTTTTGTATATAAATATTAGTATAATTTATTAACGCGAAATATAAACATTCATTTATAGTATAATATAATAATATATAAATTGCCTAGTATTTACTTACTGACGACTTTCACTATATCTCACTATTACTTTTCTGTGTCTTTACAACAACAAACAAATAATTATTTTTTTATACGTAAGTAGTATAACATTATTGTTCTGGATCATCATAAATAGTATTTTGATAAGTAATATCTATATCTAATAAAAATATCTATAAAGTATAAAATACACACCCAAATTGTAAACAAACTATCAATAAATCGAATGTCATGGAGTTTAACCGTAAATACCAATTTATTTTATTATTACAGTAACTTGAAGCTATGGTATGTATCATTTTATACCACACTACCATGATTATGTAAAATAAATTGACTGAATGTAAAAAAGTACAATTTTACATATAAATATAATAAGAATAATTAAATATAATTGGAATTTTATTTTTTCGTATCTAAAATAGACAATGGGACAGTCAACAGGTTCTTTTTCAACCGATACCAAGAGGAAGAGATTCTGAATTATTCACTACTTTTAAACGTATCCTACGTTTAATTATACATGATATTTTAACTACATCTATAAATATTTCCAATTTATACATTTATTTCTGCATGTGATAATAAAAATAACATATCAAGTGTAATATTTCATTCAAACTAATTCTTTTTATTAAAGACAGTGCAATTAGTGTCATACTAATTGCTATTGGAAATATCTTTTATGTATTATAAAACTAAGTTATAATAATGCTAACTTTAACTAACAAAGTCCTTCTTAGTGGCATGTACCTATACCGTTCGTACATAGATACTTACTTTTCAGCGATGGAGATATAGATTATTGTCATTGAATTAATACATAAAATCTATTTTTATGTTTCGGAGAGCTTTAATTATATTTTGATTGGCCACTAAACTCGTACACCGTTCACTATTCTTCAGAAATAGACGTTAAAGTAGTCTATCCTGAGATAAAATAGTTTTTTACTACGATTATGAGGTAAACTCAATTACGAGTACTAAGAATATAAGGTAAACTCCTAAAGGTAAAGTAAAGAATATATAGGTATATATATAAAACCACTACAAGGAAGACGACATTGTAACATAAATATATATTTTAATCTAATAATTAATATAATAAAGTATGAGGAATTCTTGTATACAGGGATCAGTCATAAAGGGTGTAAGGTGAAGAGGTCTAGAGGTATTCATTACATTGAACAGCACGCAACAAGAAGTAAAGTAGATGAAACTACATATTTAAATCTATTCTGAAACTTTCACGCAAACAGCAGACTCACGTTTCCAAAGAACGTTGTATGAATATATTCTTATTTCAAATGAGCAGGAGAAAGCGGACTTATTGACGATAGTCTATAATTACTTAATATACAGATCATCAGTCTGCCTGGAATACCTCGCAATTTTCCAAATCCAAAAGTATGCGTACAGTATATGTTTATTGTTGTGAGATAATATCCTATATATTAAATACTCAACTCATATAAATATCTTACTGGTTTCTTATAAAGATTTTTAAAACTCGTAAAACTTAAGTTCATAAATTATATCTTCATATGGATGATACTGACTGATTTTTTCCAAAAAAAAAATACGTCATATTATATTCGGAAATTTTCCGCGAACTGTAAAAAACCGTCCAACAAAGTGAACGTGCGAGATCGCGAGATTTTCCGATATCTACTCCTGCCTATAAATATGTTAAAACCCTTGAGATATAAATAAAGACACTAATAGTAGAATGCCATAAGTAACAATAATTATAGTTCCACATTTGCGAGTCACGATGTCCGTTTATACAGTGGATTTGAACCAACGCTGCATTGTATAAACGGATTACAAGAGCTGTTGACATGTCCCATCTGTCCTACATTTGTAATTGATCTAAAACAGGTACACGCTTACTAACCTGTATAAATTGATCTAAATTATTAAGTAGGTTAGATCAATCATTGTCCCCATGTGTGAATAAAGCAAATCACCTTATTGACTTGCATATGATCGATTTCTTCTTAATTTGACTGAGAGAAAAGTGTATAACGTGTAAGTGGGTAAAGGATACCGACATATAACTTTTAATTTAACCATTTAAAACTTATACGTATGATCATTCAGAAATCTACTAGAGAATTAAGTATCTATTCAAAAAAGCCAATAGACTTACGTACAGTTAAAAATATATGTAATGCCTAATAAAAAGTTACACGTTTTTGCTTAACATCTGTTATAAACATATTAAAATATGTGTTTTATAATAACAATAACGTTTATAATTTAAACAGCATTTTTAGGAATACCCGACATTGATAAAGTTTACTACAACTAAAATATATTCTACTTTAATAAACTAAATGTGTAATTAATTAATTTAACACACAAAATATCATAAGCACAGCCTTCAATTTGAGAGAGCAGTATGAACACTCGCAGCCATTGTTTGTAATACTGCATTTCCAATTACGTCGGAAAAAAATAAAAAAGTAGAAAACCATTTCTTGCTATTTCATCTTTTCAAAGGATATCTACAAACTGTAATTTTAAGTGTACTTCTGATAAGTAGTTTTTACAATTGCAATACACGATTTGAAGACATTGGAATACATAAATATTTATAAAGTGTACTCTTTTGGACTTTGTGAGAAGTTATATAGCTTTAAGTTTTGAAAATTTAAATGTCAATTTAATAGGCACGCTTTATAATTTAAATATAAACATGTATCGGCAATAATGTAAATAGCTAAATTGTAATGCTTTATATTACATTACACTTAATAAATACGTAATTAACAGAAGAGCACAGGAGGTACAAATTTAAGACTCTATAGTAACAATTAAGTAAATATACTATGACTACATATCTACCAAAAACCATAACACGCGAAAATGATATGAATACCATTATTGCACCTAGCAGTGTGTTCATTAATATTAAATCCAAACACATTATTGTCAGAATAAATACATATATTGTTTAATTTCGCTCAATGTCGAAAATATATCAAATGAAACACGCCTGTATATAAAATACTATTTTGATACAATACATATGAATATAAAATTTACAATAATTAGATACATATATACTAGTATGTACACTCATGACGTTTGTCTACATTGTAACACGTAACGTATTTCGGCGTTGGCACAGTGTGAAACGTAACAAGCATAGATTATAACTGACATTTATTTCCTTTTCGGATAATTTGTACTCATTTTAATTACATACTAGGCCGAGAAGTATCTTTTTTTTTTAATACAAATGTCTAAGAACAACCTTTTAATTCATATTTTCATGTACTTAATATAAATTGCTTGATAAGCGGCCCTTAACAAAATATATTTATCATTATTTACGTGAACATACCGCAAGTATTTAAGACACTGAAGCATGAGACAAAACGTAAGAACAAGAGTGTCATAAAAAAAGAGAATTATCTATGTATATCTTTTTTGAATAAGTTATATTAAAATAAAGTTCCGAGATAATTAATATTTAAGGATATCTGTTTCATTTAGAAGTCCATAATTTTTAAATATTTATAATATTTGAAATTTCGGAACACCTTCCCCGCTAACATCGATGAAAATTTCGCGACACTACAACGACTCCGTTCACGATATATTTACTCATTAAATTGAAAGAATGAATATGGCAATAGCTGTATTAAAAGAAACACGGGACAGTTAGGGTTTCGTATACACCATAAATTAAGATTACATGTAAAACTCTTGAGAATCTTAACATCGGGAACTAGTCTACTTTAATAGTTGAAATTAGGCTTATTATAACTTTAATGCATCGTAATATTTATAAACCCCTTACATCTTGTACATGTGTAAAAATATTTATTTTTGTCTCACACTACAGTAAATAACTACAATATAATCGCATCGCACTGTACAAACGGAGTTTCACAAACAGGTGACAATACGTACCTATCAGTACCCAATAATCCAAAGTAATTTAAAGTGATATTAACTCTGGATTATTTCTATACCCATATTTTCTCGTATGTTCTTTTATAAAAATTTAAACAATGTACTGGTAAAATGCTCGTAGCTCGTCGTAAAAAAGGTTAATCGTCATTATCCATTCCTATCAGTTCTGCTTGCAAACGTCCCTTGGTACGACAACATGCCGTCAAGCACAAAATTCTGAGAGCTAGGCGAAATTGTGGGCTCAGAGATATCAATATAACGATTTTCCAAAAAGAATTTAGTATTCCAAGCCATACAACACCGAAATGTAACATTGGAATCTTTAACTCTTGATCGGTGAAATACTCATACAATCTCACTCCAGCATAGGGTGCCCAACTTAGCCAAAAAACACATACGAGAACAAAACTCATCCAATGACTTGGATTAGACAGATTTTCAGCTAAAGCGGTAGCATACTCCTTATCATGTATAGGCGCGCCACTATTTAGCTTGCGTTTCATAGAAAAGATGTAAAAATAATTGTAAACTATAGAAATAACGCTGGGGCCTAGAACGAGTATTCCCAGTGTTGCAGTGTAAGCGTACGTAGTGCCCCAGTCCAGCATGCAGATAAATGTCTCCTTGTCGAAATTTGCGTCCTTTTTATATCCAAGTAGAGGTGGACAGCACAACATGGCAGCGGATATCCAAGTAAAAACCATCCAACATTGACTTCGAGTGCGAGTTTGTACCTGGTAGTCATATTGACGCATTATATGTTGAAATAATGTAGTAGTATGAATGTGCTTTATTGTGAAGTTAAAAGAGGGTTATCTAACGTTTCGATGCGTAAATTCGTATAAATTTATTAATTTAATCAAAATTACTGATTAAAATCAAATGTATCTAAATAGTACTATGTCATTCAATTATCTACCAAAGCTGGTAACCTCGCCAAATATGCGATAATACTACCAAAACTGTACAAAAGTAGAATAATTAACATTCGATTATTAAGTATAAAAATTACAACTGACTAGCAGAAACAAATCGAAAAGTACAAAAGGGTGAAATGTATTATCTGGATTTATACAAAATGCATCGCTTAATATTCAGTAAGGTGAATGAGCTAGGGGAGTGATATGCAAAAGGATGAAATGTTGGTGAATAATAGAAATATTATAAAAGATAAGTACCGTTGCACTAACCGTCTCATATCGGAGAGGTTTCCGGACCGCGAGATAGCGGTCTACCGATATCCACATGAAAGTATAAACAGAAACGGACCACAGAGTGACCTCGACGTAACCAGCGAGTCGGCACATTAGGTCGCTAAACATCCAGCGACCTGTGATAGCAGCGTACACCGACAAAGGTACCACAAATACGCCGCATAGCAAGTCCGCCACCGCCAGGGACAGTAAGTAGTAATTTATCACTTCATTGGAGAGACCTGAAAATATAACAGAGCACACTGTTTCACGTATACCTGCATCAATTATGGATATCGTTTATTTATTAAACAAGTGATAGCGATAGCGTGTCATTATTATTATAGATTACAAAGGTTATAATTTCATACACTATAAATTGACATCTTTAATAGTGTTGTGTATAAAACAGATCAAGGGCGGACATAAATAAGATACACATTTTAATATAATATACAAATGTACACGTTATGTTGTGAATATAAATGTGTATACAATAAATTTATACCTACATATGAACTGTATGTCGAGTTTCACAGTAGTTTACTGTTCGTGTGAATAATGCCACACATAATGTGACAGTTCTGTTTTCAACACGCAACCACCAGTTTTGTTTGCTACATTAGTTTATATAATTTATTGTTCAAAACCAACTATTCTGTAGTTTTTGTGAATAAAACGTGCTTGCAACAATGCCATGCTTGCAACAATGCCATCGCAATATCGTGCTGACAAAGTTTGATACTGACAAAGCAATTTCACTTCTATTGTTAGTTTACCTTTAAAATTGAGGAAAGCAGCTATAATAAGAAGATTTGACACAACAATGGCGACACCCATAACGGCTATAACGGCGGCTTGCGTGAGTGATTCGAATGTAGCCAGAGGGCTATCCGCCACGCTCACATCGCCCGCACTGCCTGCACTCCCGCGGACACTCATCATCCTGGCTGGCATATCTGTATATATATCTATTGTTAACATCCATACATCAGTTCTCATGATATGATGTGATCGTGAAAAAGGAATAGTCCGATTTCAGCATCGCTATTATAAATATGGATATATGAATTTGTATGTTTTACTAAACGACGATTAGAACTTACGATACGATAGTTTAGATTTCCATTAGGAAATACAACTTCAATTTCATAGGATTACGAGCAATTTTACGAGGTCAATCCAGAAACATAAATTGGGTGAGATCTCGTGAGATTGAGGACACAAAACAGACAGACAGGATGTATATGAGTCTATAAAATAAATGTGATAAGTAGACCCTGATGTCAACCGATATAGAATAAGAGATAAGGCATTTTCATCCATTGTTTAATAGCAAATGAAAAAGATTTCAAGTATAACATAAACTACTTACTTGACTGTTTGATGCGAATAACATTATAATTTGTCCAAACACACATCAACAAACTAAGATTAGGTAAAAAAAAATTAAAAAAAATTGCCTTCTTTTTTAAAAAGTACTACTAGTTATATAACTTTATCTGTACACACAGTACATGTCATTTCCTATTTCACCCCTTTTCCAGATTATTTTTAGAGATAAACGATAAACCAGGTTCACCCTCGTAATACAATTATATTTAAATTCAAATTTTATTAAGATCCGATTAGCTGTTTAGTCGGGAAAAATAAAAAACATACTACCAGTGTTGTCTTTTGGTTTGTTACCTTTTTAAAACTACACTTTGTATTTGTATTTAGAATATTTGTATCGATAGAACTTTGTTTGATGGATATTATTTTCTTACCTAACTCTATATGTTTGACATATATAAACTAAATAATGAAAACGACATACGACTACATCCTTATACAAAATTTGCATTATTATTTCTACCCTGGAAGTTATTAGTTATCATGCGAAATCTGTTACCTATCATCTAAAAACACTATTACTATCCAGTCCATTCTAACCTTTAAAAAATAAAACGCCAACAAAATTTATAACAGAAAACAATAATTTATTTTGTTTAGTACACTATACAAAATTTGACAAACGAATATTATTAAATGTAACAGTTATTGTAATTTCTAATTAATTCATACATTTAAAATACCATAATCATACATTTTTTAAATTAATAATAATTTATATTCATCATTTTTATGAATGCATGGCATAAGAAATTTGCAATATTTATTTTATGACAGTTTTCTAACAACAAACAAAATGGGAGCATACAAAAATATCGGTTATTCGACAGAAATGGCAAAGGCTGGCCTATTTTCTCCTGTCGGTCATCGGCACACTGATAAGTGCTGCCCCAGGTCATGCTATTTTAGTTTACAACCACGTAGAACTTTCACTATAAAAATGTATTGAACTGACGACCCTTTTCGTCGTAATTTTTATGCAATATTACATGAGCCGCTGAACTACGTATCGCCTACTGCATAATTTATTACGACTTTCCATTAGCGTAGCATTGTCAATAAACCTTGACACTTTAATTTATTTTGCTCGATAATAAATACTGGCCTCATCATTCATGAATCCAATATTGTTATGTTATAAAATGAATTATGCTACAATATACATACGAGTTTTTATATATGAAACCTCTAATTAGTCGACGAGTAGGTGTGCACCATAAAGTGAACATAATTAAATTGAAATAAATATTTAAAAATTAATATAGTAATCTGTATTTATTGTCTAACATGCAACTATCTATTACAATCTGAGTAATCTGAAGAACCGTTTTCTACAGAAAATACATTTTAAGTTTTTATACTATTGATTTTTAACAAGTTTGCCGAATTTTTAAATAGCTCTGATATTATAAAAAAGAAAACTAATATTGAAATCGCAAATCCCCTTTTTTATTTAATGATAATAGGTTTAACAACAATTAGTTTATATACGATACCTGGAAGAGAACTTGTTTTTCTTGGCACATCGATGGACAATGACAGTTGAGAGTAGAAGGTGAGGCCCTATCAGTTAGTCTGGATATTGCGAAGGACTGTTTGGAAGCTCTTCTTACAAAACTTCCTTTGGATTGCCTGAGAAATGGGTCGGCAGCTTTCTCGCTGAAGTATAGAGGCCATACTAATATAACACAGGCAAAAGTTTTAGAGTGCCGGAATAAACTAGTGTCTGAAATCGAAACTTCATTCCAGTAAGTTTTGTTTTGGAGTCAGAAGAATCTAGTTCAATTCAAAACAAAGAAGAGATAAGTATGCGCGTTTAGCGTTAAAACACCTTTTTTACCATGTCTCCTCAGTTTCAAGAGTCCTTGATATGAAGCGAAATCTCGAAATCCTTAGCATTGATAGATCCAGCGACGTTCAGTTTTGAGGATAAGGCTAAAATATCCACCAAAAACTTAGGTATGCTCAGTAGAGTGAGACGGTATTTTATGGCGGTCCATCGCTTGCACAGATCCGCCCGCATATGAAATACTGTTCTCATATCTGGGCGAGAGCACTACAATACTAGCTAATTCCATCTGACCGCATTCAGAACCGAATCATTGGTAATCACCGTCTTTGTGAAAAACTCACCCGTTGACTTTACGGCGACATATGGCATCTCTTGTTTATTTTCTATATCACGGTAAGTGTTCTGAGGAATTTTACGGATTAATACCAGCTGTTGAAATTTATCAGCGTACTACCCGCTATAAACTAAAATACCATCCTAATCAACTTTTTGCCATATACAACCATATTTATAATAGAATGGATGGTGATCCAGCATTAGTATTTCCGAACCGATACGAAATTGAAACCTTCAAGAAAAGCGCTTTATATACTATAAAAACTATTATAAAAATAAAATTATTTATATCCATAAAACAAACTTACTTATTCGTGTAGACCTTCGGACTTCTATAGCAGTAACTACACTTATTTAATTTATTTACCTATCAATGTATCTGACAATACAATTAACACTAAATAGAAGAATGTATGTTAATACATTTAATATCAATTAATATAACACATTAATGCAATACATTGTCTGATGAAGACGGTCTTTGTCTGTAGAATATAGGGTATATTAAATAACTAAGTAAGTTTATTTATAAATTTAATGCATATATTTAATAAATTATATTAATATATAACTGACATTTTATGACATATTAAAATACCTAATTAGATAATATAAGCTAATATATGTACGTACTGCAACAGGTAAAGTAAGATAATGACAATTATCAGACTCGTCAATTAATAAATTTTCTAAATATAGGATATATAATATAAGATATTTAGAAAATTTACGTCTACTTATAAAATTAACTGCATAAGTAAGTTTTCGAACTAGTGCCGCAACTGGCTTTTACAGCTTCGAAGGACAAAAATGAAGGCCAAAGCAGAAGGCATTCCAAAACGCGAATTTTAATTAATTAAGTCATATGGTTTAAGGAACTTTTAGTACATAAAAGTTCCTTGAACAATATGACTTTATTCTGAGAGCACCGTTAGGGGTTCAAACGTCTGCTTAGGCTGTCGTAAGTTCGATCCCCGTTGGAATAGGACAGGGTATCGATGGGAGGGGCGGATCGATCGAGTTTATTCGTAGAGGGTTGTAATATTCCACTGGTAAGACATTTGAATTATTAAGTACCCATTTCAAACACTACTACCCTTGAAAAGAAAGTGGTTTTTTAATCATTTTTAATTTCTACTAGGATTGGGGTTTAGGAGAAATTAGTTTAAATGATTCCAGAGTTGAGTATGCTGGTTCCATTTTATCTTTTCAGTTCGGTATATAAAAATGAGAACGCGCTTATTATATACGGTAATATGAAAATGTATTTATGTATCTTAATACGAAGATGTAAGTACTAGTTTATATCCGCAACCTACGTATCTTAGATAAAAGTTTGCCCTATGTCCGTTATCATGATAAAATCAATCTTCACTTCAAATTTCTATAGTATCTGTTCAGCCGTTAAGTCGGACTCGCCCATGGAGGTTTTCGTACAAACTTGTTTTGATCTTTCCCTATATGATTCTTTTACATTAAACGAACATATTTTAAGTAAGTATACATTGTGTAGTATTTTAAAATCTGTTTAAGCTTGTGTCAATTCTCTTTCGATACAATTTCGCAGAAGACACGGTTAACTCAATTAAAAAAATTACGGGGGTTAAAGTCAGTTTTTTATGATTTAAGTACACTGTAAAATTAACAAGTACATAGGTATTTTTTTTTAATTTTTATCTATACTTCGAATTCTAAAAATACCGAACAGACACATTTCGTATTTATAGTATTAATAATTAATTAAATGAATAATTAATATATAAATAAAAAATATATAAATATATAATATTAAATAAATAAATTAATTAATTAATAGTATGACAATAGCGTAAATAATAATAATATGGATTATACATAATTTAAAGTTACTAAGGATAGATTAATAATTCAACAGACTATGTAAATTCAGCTATCTGTGACCCCCAATTATAACTGAAATACTAAGACAATGATACCTCAAGTCAGTCCTTATCATAGTAAACATTGCCATAGGATGGCTACAAGCACAAAGCTCCATTCAATATTTACTGCTGCGCTCTGTACAATGCCGCAGACAATTCCCTGTTGCTGTTTTGTTTGACCTAAATAAACTCCCCTGAGACATACCTCGTTAAAAGCAGCATGCATTAATGAAAACTACTCATTTCACTCATACTCGTATAGAGCCTTATTATACACATATATATACAGTGTGCAAACACAGTTGTAAGGCCCTTGAGATGCTCTCTTTCGACGGCAGCTATGAATCCATACTTGAATAAAATGCTGTCTTTTTTTCTTTTTATAACTAGTATTTTTTTTTAGTTATACGTTGTGAAACGAGAACATGATTTGTTGAAAAGAGATTACAGAAATATGACAAAATCTATATTTAAAAAAAACTATTCTGTTCATAGTATATTTTTTTGTAACTACTATAGAAAACAAGCTGTAA